GGGCTGCGTGCAGGAGGGTGCCAGATGGAATTGCAGCAGAAATGACCGCTGTTGGGCAGTCTTTTTCTGCAGGGACAGAGCCCAAACGCGCCGGCGAGGGGCCAGGAAGCAGCATAACCCCAACCCCCTGTTCCCATCTCAGCCCCTGGCAGGGCTCGTCCCGCACGTATGGGGGGGAAGCTGCAGCCTCCTGAAACCAAACGCTTGCCTGAAACCTCCTCTTTTACTTATTTAACCCCAAGCAATTGTCATCTGCACAGCCCCCCTCGTGTGCCACGGGACAAACCACTTGTGGGGCACGAAAGTTAAGTTTAGGTAAAAGGGTCTGGATTTATGAGGAGGTATTTTATCCCCCCACCATCCGATGCTTAAGAGAAACACGGACTAATCCTGCTCCAACTGCAGTCCAGCCGAGGAGGGGGCTGGGAGGACGCGGAGCTGCCCGCTTGTTCCTGGGGAGCCCATCAACCATCAAACCCTTTCAACTCCCCTGGCAAGAGTTTTCCAACACCCTCATTAACCCTGGGTTTTCTTCATCACCTTTCCCAAACAAGCAGAAATTATTCCCGGTTGCTTTCCTCTTGTCCTGGGGATCGGGGTGGGTGCAGAAAGGGGAGCAGGCACTTACCAGGCAGGAGGCAGAGGGAGCAGGCGAGGAGCATCCCGCTGGGGAGGTCCATGGGAACGCCGGCTGCCCTGCTCCCCGGCCCCGAGCATCCGCGGGAGGCAGCCAGCCAGACTGGTAGCCTCACTCACAGAGCCCTTTCCTTATCCCAGCCTTTCCCGGCTCCCTGACAGAAGGCGAACATTGGAAGGGAGTGGGAGGGACAAGCAAAACTTGTAGGAGGTACAGCAGGAGAGGACGGGAGAGGGGACAGTCTTCGCACGGACACGGCACCCTTTAGGGATCGGCTTCCCGGCAGGGCTGTGCCAGCTGGGAACTTCAAACCCATGGCAGCACCATGGTCTTCTCCCCGTGGCATCAACACTGAGGTGCCCTCAAGCCCCTCACCCTGATAGGGGCTTGGTGACAGAAGGTCTGCACGGGGTCACTGATGGCTGTGGGGGGCTGCGTCTGCTTGGTGGCGCCTC